TCACTATTCGTTGAACAATTGAGCTAAACGTCAAACCAGATACACTGATCAAAGGCTGATACTCGAATGTCTGTCACTAGCTGGACTAGTTATTTGGTTTATTTTGCACAAACAACTTAAGGCTGTTGTTTTTCATTAGTTTTCCTGTGGTGTTCAGTACCTGTCACATTGGAGGTGATTTCTTTGACACATTTCTTAGTAAGCTCTAGGAGAGGAAGGAAAGAAGGGTATAAATAGAATAAATGGGAGAGATCGAGGAATAGAGACAAAAAGTAATCTATCACCGATTATTAATTATGTAAGAGATCTCAAACTGACTTTGGTTTGTTGTCATAAAATTACTGCAAGTCTGATCAGATTAGGCCCATACTTAGAATTACAATTCTAAAAACAGTAAAAAAAACCTCAACTTTTTTGCCCCCACAAATGCGTTAGCTTTCTGAAGAAGAATCATTCCCAATTAGCATCAACAATTTTTAAACACTGTGACTGTCATAGTTATTTTAATGATTGTTTTTAAATCCTTCTTACGGTCTTCTAATGCTCATATTTCTTGTAGTGTCTCCTAGAATAACATTTTAAAATAACTAGAAAAATACAAGATTACAGAGGCACGGATTTGTTACTGAGTATTTTTCCTTTTTCTCTAAACCTAACACAGGATGTTTAATATTGGCCATGCTTAAATGGAAAACGTGTTGATATAGGTAAAAGCCATTTTGCATGTTTGTATGCCTCAGCATGTTGTGGATAAATCTCCACAGAGAAAACTAACCCCAGCAAGATTTCTGCTGGACTATGAGAACTGCCATACCTAAACAGTGATGGAAATAATTGATTAAATTCTAAAGGCACAGGCCAGCCAGCATTTCTTTGCAATAGAAACATGAAATCTAAAATAATTTGGAGAGAAGTCTGTTGCTAGCATTAGTCATGATTTAATTTTAATAGCACTAAACTTTCAGCAAAGTAATGTATTTTTACAAATGTTCACTTTAAAATGATGAATATCAAAAGCAGTGATGATTATGAATTTATTAGCAAAGCTACCATTTTATGAAATGGTAGTGTATAAAGACATGCAGTGCAAATAACTAGTATTCCCATTTAAGATCATTTTCCTTGTGGTCACAAATTACAGCGCAGTTCGAGATATCAATATGCAGCATGTCTAGATACCAGCCATATTTTAAGCTGGAGCCCACATTGAATGAAAATGTAAACTTACCTTTACTACTGGTCTGCTATTGAAATAAGATAAAAATCATACTTTTTGCACTTATGTATTGAATGCATTTAATATAAACAGATATAGAAATATGACAATGTAAGGCAAAACTCATTACAGCTCATCAAACTTTGCCTGTACTAGCTCTTTTAAATATGCTGCTTTTTGCTAATTTAAGTAATTCATTATTTAAAAGGTTGGAGAGATAAGCAAATTAAAAATGTTCTTTATTTCTCCTGTAAGCCTTGCTTAAAATTTAAATAAAAGAATTTTTTTTCCTTGATATCAGATGGTAGAGAGAGTCCCTTGGGAGGCAGTCCTGAAGGGCAAAGGGGTCCAGGAAGGCTGGACATTCTTAAAGAAGAAAGTCTTAAAGGCGCAGAAGCAAGCCATCCCTGTCAGATGAACCAGCGGGGAAGATGACTGGCCTGGCTGAACAGGGAGCTTTGGCTGGGACTCAGGAAAAGAAGGAGGGTCTACTACTCTTGGAAGAAGGGCACGCATCTCAAGAAGAATACAGGGATCTCATTAGGTCATGGGGAGATAAAATTAGGAAGGTAAAAGCCCAGCTAGAACTGCATCTGGCCACTGTTGTAAAGAATAACAAAAAATGTTTTTACAAATACATTAACAACAAAAAGAGAGCTAAGGAGAATCTCCATCCTTTATTGGACACGAAGGGGAACATGGCAACCAAGGATGGGGAAAAGGCTGAGGTACTTAATGCCACCTTTGCCTCAGTCTTTAATAGTCAGGCCAGTTGTCCACAGGGCATTCAGCCCCCTGAGCTGGAAGACAGGGATGGAGAGCAAAAGAAACCACCCATAATTCAGGAGGAAGCAGTTAATGACCTTCTACGCCACCTGGAGACGCACAAGTCTGTGGGGCCAGATGGGATCCAGCCGAGAGTACTGAGGGAGCTGGCAGAGGAGCTTGCCAAGCCACTCTCCAGCATTTATCACCAGTCCTGGTTAACAGGGGAGGTCCCAGACGACTGGAGTCTTGCCAATGTGACGCCCATCTACAAGAAGGGCCGGAAGGAAGGTCAAGGGAACTACAGGCCTGTCAGCTTGACCTCGGGGAAGGTAATGGAGCAGTTCATCTTGAGTGGGCTCACCAGGCAGGTGCAGGACAACCAGGGGATCAGGCCTAGCCAGCATGAGTTCATGAAAGGCAGGTCCTGCTTGACCAACCTGATCTCCTTCTATGAACAGATGACCCGCCTAGTGGATGAGGGAAAGGCTGTAGATGTTATCTACCTGGACTTCAGTAAAGCCTTCAATGCTATCTCCCACAGCATTCTCCTAGAGAAGCTGGCAGCTCATGGCTTAGACAGGTGCATTCTTTGCTGGGTAAAAAAACTGGCTGGAAGGCCAAGCCCAGAGGGTTGTGGTGAATGGAGTTAAATCCAGTTGGCAGCCTGTCACAAATGGTGTTCCCCAGGGCTCAGTCTTGGGGCCGGTCTTGTTTCATATCTTTATCAATGATCAGGATGAGGGGATTGAGTGTGCCCTCAGTAAGTTTGCAGATGACATCAGATAGGGCGGGAATGTTGGTCTGCTCGAGGATAGGAAGGCTCTGCAGAGGGATCTGGACAAGCTCGATTGATGGGCCGAGGCCAACTGCATGAGGTTTAAGAAGGCTCAGTGCCAGGTCCTGCACTTGGGTCGCAACAATCCCATGCACAGCTACTGGCTTTGGGAAGAGTGGCTGGAAAGCTGCCTGGTGGAAAAGGACCTGGGGGTGCTGGTTGACAGCTGGCTGAACATGAGCCAGCGGTTGCCAGCAGTGTGCCCAGGTGGCCAAGAAGGCCAGCAGCATCCTGGTTGTATCAGAAATAGCATGGCCAGCAGGACTAGGGAAGTGATTGTCCCCTTGTACTCAGTTTTGGTGAGGCCGCACCTCAAATACTGTGTTCCGTTTTGGGCCCCTCATTACAAGAAGGACATTGAGGTGCTGGAGCATGTCCAGAGAAGGGCAATGAAGCTGGTGAAGGATCTGGAGCACAAGTCTTATGAGGAGCAGCTGAGGGAACTGGGGTTGTTTAGCCTGGAGAAAAGGAGGCTGAGGGGAGACCTTATCACTCTCTGCAACTACCTGAAAGGAGGTTGTAGCCAGGTGGATGTTGGTCTCTTCTCCCAAGGAACAAGCAAAAGGACAAGAGGAAATGGTCTCAAGTTGCGTCAGGGGAGATTCAGATTGGATATTAGGAAAAATTTCTTCACCGGAAGAGTGGTCAGACATTGCAACAGGCTGCCCAGAGAAGTGGTGGAGTCAGCATCCCTGGACGTGTTCAAATAATGTGTAGATGTGGCACTTCAGGACATGGTTTAGTAGACATAGTGATGTTGGGTTGATGGTTGGACTTGATCATGGATGTTTTTTCCAACCTTAAAAATTCTATTCTGTGATTCTCGATAATAAATAATTTATAATAATTTAGGATTATTAGAATATAAGTAGGTTTGGAAGGACAAATAAATATAGTGGTCAGCATTTTTAATGTCAGACTGTTTAGGGAAGGATATATGAATAAAAATAGTAGATAAGCTTTTGAAAAACATAATACTATCTCAATTTTTATAGATAGCTAGTACTTAATATTGTTATTTATCATAGTATTTCACATTTTGCAGTGCTTAACGCAAAAATCACATAGGCTTTGTAACTTACATAGCAAGAGTGAAATAAACGCACTTTTTTTCTGATAAAGTAACACATAAGAATATGACAGCTAATGATTCTAATAATAAAATTCAGTAACTGATTTTGGTAATTTTTTAAATAGTGTTTTTACCAGAACCAGTCAGTTGTAGCACTGTTTAGAAATTAGACTTTTTATTGTAGTTTTTCTACACTTCCAAATTCATGTTTCATATTTTTTTCCACCTTAGTCTTTCATGTTGCTATTATAATTTTTCAATTAATATCAGTATTAATAATCATATTGTAAACTTCATGGCACTTACCCCCGAAAAGTGTTTCTTTGCCTTGAGTTAGGCAAGCTGACTCTTACCTATTAGGGAATTATTAACTAATATGAGAGCAAGCCACATATGTCTTTCAGACTATGAAAAACAGCCAATTGCAGATTTTCTTCATGCCTCAGAAGTCAATACTGTTTCACTTTTGGAACAACATTATTAATACATTCACTGTTCCAACATACTGTAAAGAACAGGTAAATAGCTCATTACAAGAAGACTGAGAGGTAGTGCAGTTGCTGGGACTTCATTCTGTGTAGATTTTGGTTTAGCTTGGTTTTCTTTAGTAGAAGATTAAGTATTAAACCAACAGAAGATGAACAGGTATCCTGTTTTTAACTACTTTTTTTTTTTTTTTAAATCTTCCTTATTTAAGATACAAATGCAAGCAGACTTGCATAATGAAAACAATGTCATAATGAAAAATAGGAATAATGTATTTTTGTTAGGGAATATGTATGGTTATGTAAATGGTTAAATCAATAATAAAAGTGAAGCCTTAAAGTAGCAACTCAGAAAAGCCTCTTACATTAACAAAAAAGGCTGCTTAAATAATGTTAGAAACTCAATATGGTTTAGAGCAATTGCAAATATGATTTCACAGATGCTTACATTTTTATGTTCACATTTATTTCACAAGGTTAAATGAACTGCTGTTAGCACTAACAAAATTAAGTTGCATGAAGGTTTTCTGTAGGAAAAAGCGCTGCTTCTAACAGAACAGAATTTTGTGATTAAAAGTTTTGTGTAGAGGCAAAAAACCCATAATTTTTCAGTAGAAAAGAAACCTCAAGGGCAAACCTGGAGTTTCTTGTTGGAGTATATCTCCCGTTATGTGCCAATGATAAGTCTTATGATATGCTCATCCTGTTTGGCCTTCCTGGAAAAAGAGTTGCACCATAAGAAATGTGTTCTGGCAGAAATGCTTGGAACACATAGAATAAAGGGAGATTTTTTTACATTTCCTTTTGTGTGTTTCTGTTTCCAAGCAAGATATTTTTTGTCCACCCCCCAAAAATGCCCCAACTCTATAGTATCTTTAAAAATGAAATTACTTCCATTCAAATTTTGCTTTACACATGGTAAAAGTACCTGGAGTATATATCTGTATGGTAAAAATTCTGCTCAACTTACACATGCTTGAAGATTTACCATGTTCATAATTCAGATCCTTGTTGTGTGTGATGAACCTTTTTCATTGTAGTTTCTATTTGCCAGATGTTCAGTTGCCGTTTTCCAGTAAAGTAACATTGACTAGGGCTTAAGGAAATAAGACGAATTCTTCATTTGCAGTGTTGGAGAAGGGAAAATATGCAAATACTCTTAAGTAACACTTCCTTACTGCACACACTGTTAATTGGATAAAGACTTGCTAGTGTGCAATATATGGTTCTGGGTATGTATGCCAGGAGATTAAAAAAATTACAGTTTCTGACCCTGTGTATAGCTGGTAAAACCCACCTTTCTTATAAATACTGTGCTGTACATTATAGAAGGGAAAGCTATGTACAAGGAATAATGATGGTGTTATTTATGATTTATTGTGTTCTTTAGAGGACAAGCAAAAGATGGTTTGGAGGAACTGAAAGGTACCATGTATTTTCATCTGTCTACAATTGATAGTAATACATAATTATAATAAAGGGGAAGAAATACGTAATAGGTGTCAAATCCTATTCCTCCAGTCTCTTCCTTGGTTCACTGCATACTTTCCACTACGCAGCTTCCTGTCATTTTATATTGTTCAGTGTATATCGTGTCCTGACTGACAGTCCCACCTCTCTCAGCCTTTCCTGATATGAGAGATGTGCCAGTCTCTTGATAATGTTAGTGGCCCTTCGCTGGACTCTCTCCAGTAGCTCCATGTCTCCTGTGCTGGGGAGCTCCGAACCAGCACTCCAGGTGTGGCCTCTTCAGTGCTGAGCAGAGGGTGAGGGTCACCTCCCTTGACCTGCTGGCAAAGCTGCTCCTAATGCAGCCCAGGGTACTTTAGTCTTTCTGCTGCAAGGGCACATTGCTGGCTCATGTTCAACTTGGTGTCCACCAGGACCCCCAGGTCCTTCTTTGCAAAATCTGTTATCTATCAATACCTTTTTTATGTACCTATTCTTACATATAATTTATTGTAACATGGCACCTTCAGTTATTGTAAATCTACACAGAGATGAAATAATAGATATTTTAGTTTACATATACTTCACCTACGCATGATACATGTATATGTGAGTAATGTTTTGTGCTTGATGTGACAATCCTCCTGTTAGGAGAAATCTGCAAAGCATAGAATTTCAGTAACTGATTGATAGATGGTTTTAGTGAGACCAGAAGAAATACTGCTGCTTTCTAAACAAAACTGTTGACAGCCACCTTTCACTTCTTATTTTTGTAATCCATTGCTGGAAGAGTTTTTTGGAAGTAAGTCATTATGTCACATTACTGGTTTATGTGAAAACAACCTGACAATAGAACAGTTTTTAAGAGATGTCTAGTTACTTATGCTATGGATTAGTAGTCCCCATTTTTGCCTTTTGTGTTTGTAGCATCTTTTTTTTTTCCATTCTAACACTTCTTTTCATGGTAGTGATAAATATGCAGAGAATTGAGGGAATCTCAGAAAAAAAATCCAATTCATTAAAATATTTAATAACTAATTTGGGCGTGGCTGTGATGTAATAGAAAACATTAACATGTGGGCTAGTAATGCAATTTGTCTGAATGTATTTTCTTTTTTCTTTCCTCGGCGCAACTCCCAGAAACTTATTTTCTCTTTCCAAGTTCATCTCTCAGTATTTTATTTTAAAAATACAATATATTTTAACAAAATCTTTTTGTCTCCTATATTAACCTTTGTTCTTCCACTTCTTGGACTTATGCTGCCAATTTTATGCTCTCCTCACGGAGAATATTTTGCAATTCTTGAGCCTGAGTTCAGGAGTACAGAGCAATAACAGTAAACTGTAAACTAAGCTCTTTTTTTCTTTTCTTGTTTTTTTTGTTTTTAACAGATGGAGTCCACAGGTTGCAAATTGTATTTAGTTGCATGGAATAGCCTTGCCAATGTAAAACACAGAGGACAAAATGTTACTTTCTTTTTTTGACTAGAATATGTAGTTGACTTACCAGTATATACTGAGCTCATCTTGAGTGTCCAACATGCTTTCAGGGAGTTATTTTTCTTTTGTCTTACTTTTCTTTGTAAATGTTACCGAGATTTAATTTTTGTCAAAATGCCATATCTTAACTGAGAAAGGTACCATCGAATTTTATTTTCTGGCTCTTAAAATATATTTCAGTGGGTTCAGAAAATCCATGTTACATAAATCATGGGTGTGTCCCAAGTAGGCATAGCAACTTGTTAGTCAGCATGAGCACAACATAAATACAATGCAGTTCAGAAAAATACGAATCACAAATATGCTGTGTACAAATTGGTTGGCGCAAAAGTTGATTTGACCAACTGTAGTGGAATATATAATGTAAATAATTTAAGTATTGGAATCAGTGGAGCAGTTCCACACTATATGACACCTCGACAATCATACTGAGCTTGACTTTAAACCATTAATGTCCTTTCTTTTTTGTTTTGTTAACATTGTTCCAATAAAATACTCAAAGCTTTTAATTTGGCAGGAGAGGGTAAGAGTATCAACATAGAAAGGTCTGGGACAATTGCCCAATATGCATTTCTTTCAGAGTTCTGATGCTTATTATATTTTTAAACTGTATTAGGAAATTAAATAACTTCTCTTTACTGCTACTGTACTGTTTCCAAAGTGCAGATTCAGTAACAAAACAGCTAAAATGCTACAATATGATTTGCAGACGGTAAACACCCGTAGATGCCACAATGCTGACACATTTGATCATCATGCTATGACAGTTTATTTACGCACTCAAGTTTAAAAAAAACCTCCTGAACTGTTTTTGCTGTCTCTTAATGGCTTCCAATTTACATGGATTTTAATAGGCTTTAAAATCTACCCTGAAGGCTGTTGCAATGTTTAGCAAGTAATGAAATAATTTACATTAGTCATGCTTACCATTAAAGGGTTTCCTAACTTTTGGTAGAAAGAAGCCTTGTTAGAAGCAAACATGTTGCAAAAGAAGCAATTAAAACTTCTCCTGAATGGAAGTGTTTGCATTGCTGCCCTTCTCTAATTAAGAATCAATTCAGCAGATGCTTACCTTTTTTTTTTTTTTTTTAGTAGAACATAGGAAAAAAGATGCTTTATGCTTTTCACTTCTGTGAGACTATGTCAAAAAACCCATTGCATGCAGATACTGGATAATTTTGAAGCTGGAGGTAATACTGGAGTATGGTTACAATTTGGTATAATAGCTTTGCAGTGTAATGAAAAATGTCCGGTAATACCTGCCATTTTAAGGTGGATATATACACTGCTGAAGTTTTATTTAGTTTAAGCAGTCAAGAATTTATCACTCGCAACACCTGATCATTAGTGTATTTAATGCAGTCACCATAGGGCTAGAAGACTTGTATTTATGCTGTCTGGATTACTTGCTACCTAATACACCCTGTATTCTATCTAATACACTCTATAGGGGAAAGTATTTCTCATGTCATGAGTTGTCTAGTACTGCTTTATTAAGATACTGATGCACAATTTCATATTAAAGGTGTTAAATTGGATAGCTATATAATCCTGAGAATTTCCATAATAAATTATTTTATATTGAGTTCTGTTTGGGTTGCATGCTGAACAGTACAAGTGAGATGATTGTAAATACCTGTCTTACAGGCATGTGAGTGTACTATCTAAGAAAAGTAATTTTACAGAAGAGATAATATATTTTATTAGAAAAACTTGGAGGAGGGAGGAAGAGAGAAAAAGGATTGGGGTACACAAGTTGATTATACAAAAAGGTAGATGATAAATAGTGTTGCATACCTACCTCATAACCTCTTTTTTCATCATATTAGTAAGTCAAACTATTGATAAATTTATAAAAATGTCAAGTTTAGTTTTGAAATGGTGAAGCACCTGTTAGAAGACAAAAAGTGCACAACAATGAGTAGTTATATCTGTTTTATTAAAAATACAAAAAGTAACATTATTTATTTTACTTAATACATTACAGAGATACCAGTGTGTTTGCTTGCCTGGATGGGAAGGACCATTTTGTGAATATGAATCAAATGAATGTAATTCAGAGCCTTGTAAAAACAACGGCACCTGCATGGATCTTTTCGACAGCTATCGGTAAGCACTGCTTCTTCTCACTGTATGTTCTAGGAATGACAGACTTACACATCCAGTTGTTTTATTTCTCAGCTTGGCAAATGGAATGTTGTTACACAAAGAACTTGTGTCATGGATACACTGCTTCATTGCACCTTCATTTGAAATCAGCAGATGTAATTAATTGTAGATGGAAAAGTAAAAAAAAAAAGCATCAATTCAAAACACTTAGCAAGTAATGTAATCTGGAATTGTATTTTGTCGAAGAAAAGAGAGGATCTCTTTCTGTCACATATGGCCTGTAAGCTCAGGAGATGCTATAAAAGTAGGGGGAGTGGACATAGTTGTACAATCTTAGATGAAGAGATTATATCATTGCTGCCACCTTGTGGCTTCAAATGACAACAAAATAGTAATTTAAAATTAGCAGCCACACTGTGAGAAGGCATGAGAATTTGACACTAACTATTATTTTTAACTCCAACGCCAATCTTGATTTCATGCATGCATTTATGATTTAAAAATTATTTTGTTTCAGTATTATGAGCATAAGGACTCTAAACAATCTAGCAATCAGCTTCTGTTATTTATAGCCAGGGTTTACCTATATTATGATGTCAATACTGGAACAGTCCTTCTGTATCTGAATATAAACTCTTAATAGATACTGATGTAGCTGCATAAAGAACACAGTGTAATGACTGTACACAGTACACAGTCTAGTTGCTGTGCAGTGATTATATTCATGGTAATATAGACAGTAATCAGAAAGAAAACCTACCACAGTTGAAAACAGACAAACAATTCCCCAGATAGCCAAAGATAAGTTTAACAAAGTTAAACTATATATATAATACAATTTTTTGCATTAGTTTATGTTCAGAATTTAACTGAAATAATTTGCATTATCTTAGAACTGCATTTTTATTTAGTGTTAGATGTGCTATTTTGGTATAATTTTTTTCCAGTACAAAACCAGAAAAAAAGTCTAGTGAGGTTGAGAAAAATCTGTTCAATTGTTTTAAATTGCCTTTTTCACTTTTTTAAGTCTATTGGGACACAAAACAATTTGTTAAAGTTTTTTTTTATTTTTGTAGTTCTTATTTTTGTGACATTTGTAATTTGTAGTCTACTAATGAAAAATAATTCTATAGCATTATACTGTTTATGTCTGATTAGCTGTTACATTATGGCAATTTGAATTCTTACCTGATCTAATGGTTGTGTAGGCAAATGTACAGTTTCACCATCCTCAAAGATAATCCTAGGTGCATGAATATTTTGCAACCATGTATCTTTATCTGTCCTTACATTTTACCTATTTTTTCAGCCTCTGGAAGCATTATATATATTGCAGAAGGTAACATGGCTTTTCCTGATTTTATTCATAGCTGCATCAACTATATATGAGAAAATGCAAGGATTCCCTATTGTTTAATGAGGAAAAAAAAGGCTCAAAAAGTACTTTTTCTGGATTTGGCAAATACTGAACTGTTAGAGAAAATGTTTACAAGAGAATTGGTTTGAACTGTAAGCACCACACATATTTTCCCTCACAGCTGTTTGTCCTAGTTGACATAACAAAGCACGAAAATTAGAGATATGGTTGAATCATCATGATGAACCAAACAAAACCAGCTGCTTCAGAGATACCTGTAGTTGAAACTGGGAGTCAAAGATTTGGCAACCACCAGGGAAATGAGTCTACACCAATGTTTTTGTTGCATGATCTGAAGCAATTTCATTTCAATCATTCAGTTGTTCTAGTTTATACTCACAGATGTTAAAAGACATTCTGCTTTTTTTTTTTACAGTTACTCTCAGTTAATATCAAAAAAGTATTGGTTTATATTGTCTTTTTTAACACTTTTCAAAAGTGCAGCAACGAGACAAAGTGTTCATGTCATGGTAGCTAAGCAGTGACAGTGACTAGTATCTGATCCTGAGGACATCCAGCCATATCTTTAAAATTAAACATATCCTGTTCTAACAGGATAACTGAATTCTAGCAGCCTAATAGAAAAGATCATTGGCATTCTTGAGCTGTGCCTAGACATTGTTTTGGACTGGACTAGTTGGTCTGGACGAAAGTCAGGCCAGGAACTGTTTTGAGAATGCAACAGTGATAGACAACGCAATTTCCTTGTGTGTGGCCGTGTTCTGGTACTGTTTATTTTCCTGGTGTAAGTTTAGCTGCTGGATGTGATACTCAGAATTTTCTGCATTTCTTGGAAGCTGGCCACACCACTGCTAGTACTTGATACCACTTCTCACTTGAATTAATGTAAAGAAGAGATAACACAGCTTTCTTTTATGCCTTTGATAATACTCATTTGTTTACTTTCTCTTTAAGTATTTGCAAATCCATCTGAAAACGTCAGTTCTTGAAAAACTAGATAATTCATTGTGCAAAAGCATAAAAAAATATGTTTTTGTATGGAAAATAAAACCAGAAAATATAATACAAAAGCAAATATTTTTTAACAAGTTTTAAATCTGTAATAATGAGAAAAATAATGCAAACCATAATTACTAATTAAAGCCTTCTCAGTTTCCATATTTTTATTTTAAAAAATCAGAATAAGAAATTTAAAATAAGATAGATACTGAATCAGTAGGTAAGCTGAGTTGTTAAATGTAAAGCATTTGTTACATAATTCCTGTTTCATTCCAGTTAATTTTTATTCAGCTGATAAACTAAAAAATTTCTTTTTCTCCCTTCTCACTTTTCAGTTTGGCACACGGCACAGCAAAGAACGGAATTCAGAATAGTTTCATGCATATATTTCCAGTACCCTGTGAACCTCACTCTAATTCTCACGATAGCATAATCTCTCAAATTCTGTCTCTGAACATTTATAGACAGATGCATCTATTATCAGCTGAATTCCCTATTTTTCCTCTATCCTATTGTATCATCTCTCTTGATACTTCTGAGGTTTTGCCCTAATAACATCAAACCCTAATTAAAGCCCTTGTGTCTCCTTTACTGTTGCCAATTTACAAGGAAACTTGAAGTGAAAATATCTTCAACTCTTCCTGCAAAATAATAGGCGACGTAGTTTTATGGATGAACAGGTGTTTCTAATGATACAGAATAGTTTGGAACTTGGCTGTAATCATTATGACATTAAAACTTGGGAGAATTAACCAAAATACTCAATTCTTTCTGTATATCCATATTGAATCCCACAGATTCATGCTATTTGACATTTTGTCAGTATTCATTGTTGAGGTTGTTACAAAGAATAAAGATGGTAAGTGTGTTGTTGCTGCTTTCTTTTTATATACCAATGGACTTTTCCATACTAACCAGGAAATTAGGCTTACTTAAGTATATTTCCTTATGCTATCGATCTCATATTCTTTATAACACTTTTAATGTTTGCTTCAGTAGAGAAAAGTTATCCTTTGTCAGGTTGAATCCATCCATTAAGAAACAATTTTATAATCTCTGTGTAAATTGAAGACCAGTTCTATTTTTATACCTGTATTTTATCCTTTTTCCTCTTTGTTACTTTTTTTTTAACATTTTCCTTTTTTAAAAACTTAAATACAGAATAGTCATCCTTACAGTATCTTTGTTTACTGATTGGGACTGATGCTGACTGTATTAGTCAAACAGTGCCAGTCCTTAGCACCAGAGCTCTATCCAGAATCTCTACTCCCTGTGACTTTACTATGAAGTATAAATTGCTTTTGTTCTTTAGAGATGTTTGTTGAATATATAGATGCATATATTTGTTAGGAAATTAGTGATCTCTGTGATGGGTATATTTAAAAAGATTGACAAACTATGCAATTTCCAAACTTCAGAATGACTCTTCACTGGATTGCTGATATTCATTAACATTACACATTCTCAAAGGTTAATTCTTAATCACTGCTATTTATTATCATTGCATATACAACACCATTAGTCCTTACCATTAGAAACTTTACAAGCTAATACTATTTTCATTTATATAGGTATATTTATGTGTTATTTATATTTGTATAATAGTGCAATACTATGGAACTGAAGCTGTTTAGTTAGCACTGCTGGCTGTGGCTGTTGATAGTTCTTAGTTGCTGAGGTCAAGGTAGTCAGTCCCTAGAGTTCTTCAGTGAGGGAACCAGGAACCACAGTGGGCTGTCTTCTTTTTTCCCTCTCTCTCCTCATTATCATCAATATTTTGTGCTTCTTGCCTCGTCTCCAAAAGAAAACTCTGATCTTACCTGCCCTTGACATCTTACTTTTGAAATGGGGACCCCTTCTTGTTTCACTTACTTTTGCAGACACAGACATCTTTCCTGCCTGGTCATTCTTATCCTGCAGATTTTCCTTCTGGCACATGTTTTCTTCACCCTATTCGTGCAGCTATATCACAGGTCTCCATTTGCCTCTTCACAGTTAGAGATATTATTTATATATTTAAGCCCAGTTGTGTTACAAAATGCTGTAAGTGTTGTCACAGTATTAGGAAATGCTTACTCATTTTCTCCAGTTATGCTATTTTAGTGTGCTTATGTCTGGAACAAATACAAGGTACGGTTCCTTTAGCCTGCTTCTAAGCACCCTTTTTTGGGTGCAGTGGTGCTGCTCTTTGGCTACATATGATACAGATCTGAGTTTTGTCTAACATTATGACTGGGTCACATGCGGGTACTCAGTAAAAAATTGTAGATAGTTTTGTAATGTTATTTGTATGCCTCTAACTCCAGGAGCTAGCTTTTTCTTTTCAGACATGGCTGGCGCTGAAATACCTTTCTCACTAACTTCTCCAAAGACAAAAGTAGGTAAATGCCAGTGTCACCTTTTAAAATGAGGCTGAAGTTCCTTAAGCACTTGTGAGAAATTACTGATAATGTACAAAAATGTTGTCTATGTTTAAATGCTTGTCATTTAAACCCTTTTGTTGTTTATCCTGTCCTGTAAGAGGCCTTGTTTTTCCTATTTCCCTTTAGGCTACAGTTTGAAATACTGAGTTGTGTTTGCAGTGGAGGGTCTTTTGAGTAATTTCAGAACTCATCTCAAAACTGTGCTGGTCTTCCTTAGCAATGCTTTTTCAATTAATAACCATGCCACAATCACCTTTCTTCATCTTTACTTAGATAATAATTGAGACCAGCTGACAATTTGGGTAATTATGCTGTCAACCAGAGTTAGACTTGCTCCGTCTCCTTCCTGTTACTTTCTCAGTCCATTCCCAAATACAACATCTCACCCTGTAGCTCTGCTCTTTGCCTCTTAGCATTTGAAACCACATCTTCTTTTCAGAATAAAAAAAATAGTTTTTCATTGGTGTGACTGTCATCTAACTGCTCTGAGTCCTTAAAAAAGGACCCGTCTTAAATCATTAGTGTGTTCAGCGTTATGCATACCATGAACTTTAATTGCACTGTTACAGAAAAGCAGCATACTGTTTTGCTCTTTTTTTTTTTTTTTTCCTTCTGGAGAGGATTTATTTGGAAAAGCAAAGTTAAAATCAGGTTCCATATTTTGTATTCTCTCAGAACTATGCAAGAATTGTTCTGTGCTAAGTTGTATGAGGAGGTGATTCCTAAATTAGGGATGGGTGAATATCTGAAAGATCCAGAAGTAAAAGAATGCATATTTATGCAGTATATTTTTAAGATATGCTTATTTCTAAATGAATGGATTTTAAACTACCATGGAATTCAAAAGTAAATTGTGATATGATTATAATTTGAATGCTGAGTTCAGTCTGCCTTCTGTTTTTACTGGCACTCCTATAAACTACTGCTATACTTTTTCTTACTTTTTCTCCCCCAGAAGCAGTAAACAGCTTTTCCTACAGATGGGGATCAGCTTGGCATTTAATGGTCCCAGATGCCAAACTCTGGAACATTTTTTTTGCAAGCAGCATCTGGCTTCTTAGCTGGCATTTCTTCAGGGTTCTTTGGCCGGCTCTTCCTCTCTTGCTGCAGAGACGTTTCCCAAAACATTTGTCTGTTGCGCTTCCGACTTTAGTTCTGACTTGTAATTTTTTTTTTTTCATCCTAGTACTAAGTTATGTATGCACCTCGTACTCAAAACCATCTTCAAAAGATTTATATGGACAGTCAGGAGATTTATTAATGAATTAGATAAATTTGTGAAAGTGCAAACAAATGTTTCCTCCAAAGATAGCAAGAGGTTTATAGTTTCATCTCTGGTAATACTGCTAACAACTGGAAATGTGTAGTGTGCTGTTTGTTATACTACAGTGTGTGAAATCAGCTTTAGGGTTTTTGTTGCCTTAGGCAAACAACAAAATATTGCTGTGCCATCTCAGTAGCATCTACTAAAAAGTCACTGACATTTTGCACCCTTTAAGATATATTTTGGCCATTATTCAACAGTTTTCTGAAAGGACAGTAGCATTTTTATTCAAAATCCCAGTGAAACATGAAATTTAAAACAACACATAGTAAGTACCTGGAAAATACCTCACCCCTCCAAACAAGCTCATCAACTTTTCCTTCCTGAACAATAGAATTTCTCCTTCTGGTATATTTAATCATCAGGTGACGTATTTTAACTATTTTTTTTGTAATATCTTTCAGTTACAGACACCCAAAGAGACATGAAATGATCATTTGATGAACTCACAGGTTAAATGGAGTAGTACAAAACAGTTTCTAAAATAGTGAAGTACCTGAGGCATAGCTTTGAGAGTGCAGGAATTTTACATAAAAGTTGTCCAAATTCATCATAGCTGTAGGGGAGTTAAACACTTTCAATGTAAATAATGTACAAATACATGAGCAGAGCTAACAGATGAAGCAGTTTGCACAGCAGTTTCTGGGCTCTGGCTTGAGATATGCTAGATTTTCTGAGGTCATCAGAGGACTACTATGAACTCTTTGAGGAGCTTCAGGGTGCCTGCTGCTCCTGGAAAGGGTAGCTATAGGAGGCTATGACTGCTAGCAAGCTGTAGCAGTTTCCCACAAGCTTTGTTGTCAACTTTTGATTGATGGGGACTTCTAGCTTTTTGTTTCCAGCTGACTCCTCTTTAGGGAGAGTCAAGCTTCCTTTCAGCAAATGCTAGAAAGATTGTATGTAACTACCAAGCCTAGAGCACAGCCAACAGAGGCAGTAGTGTAGAAGGGGGCCAGAAACTGTGTACTTAGGTAGTGAGTACCTAAGGTTAGGGCACTATCCCTGACCATCTGCAGGAGCAAGTACCTCAGCACAGCAGAGACCTCAAACCAGACTGAGCTCCTCAGGTGGGATGTAGTTCTGAAGGTCCGGGGCTGCAGAGATGTCTGGGGTCTCTTGCTGAGGCTGGGACCAGAAGATACAGTGTCCTTGCCTGCAGGAGGTACTTGTGCGCTGGAGGAGGATCTGTGCTGCCAAGGAGATTAGCTGCAGGAGGCAGTCAGCAGACTCTGCAGCTTCAGAGATGATAACAACAACATCATGTTTTGCAAGACCCTGATATAAGAACCTGAAGTCCTAACCGTAGTGAAGGAGGACCAGGCAGAGCCTGTGCTTAGGAGGCTTGGAAATGGAGACTCCGGTGATAATGAAGGCTGGAAGCTTGTGACATTGACAATAGGATGAGGGCTTCTGTCCTATTTGCAGCTCTGCAGCTGCAGAGTAGGTTCAGTGACCTGGTAGCAAAGGAGGGACTGGAAGCTCTGTCCAGTGAGGCATCTGAATCAGTTGAACCTGAGCCACGAGGTAGAAATGGGAGGAAAGGGTGAGTGAGTGCACTGGGAGATGCCCTGCTACAGGATCCTGGTGGGATGTATCACAAGTATCAGTATGTATCAGTCCTGAGGGAGCTGATTGATGTCATTGCAAGGCCACTCTTGATAATGGTCTTGGTGACGGGGAGAGGTTCCCGAGGATTGAAAGAAAGAAAGAAAATGGAAATATGCCAGAGAATGGAATGGAAAAAGGCAGAAAAAGGAAGGCCAGAAATGGAAAATGTCACTGCTATCTTCAGGAGAGGCAAGAAGGAGGATCTGGGAAACTGTGAAGGCCAAGAGCATCCTGGGCTGCGTTAGGAAAAACATCAACAGCGTGTTGAGGGAGATGATCCTTCCCCTCTACTCAGTGCTTGTACAGTACATCTGGAGTGCCATGTCCTCCTCTGGACTTCCCAGTACAAGCGAGACATGGACTGGAACACCTCCATATGAAGAAATGCAGAAAGACCTGGGACTGTTTAGCCTGGAGAAGAGAAGGCTTAGCAGGATAAATGTGTGTAATAGTGGGGGGACAAGGGGACAGGGGGACGGCACAGATAAAGAAGACAGAGTCAGATTTTTCTCAGTGGTGCCCAGTCAAAGGACAAGAGGCAACAAACAAATACAGGAAAGTCCATTTAAATGTAAGAAAAATATTTTTTTTCTTTAATGTTAGGGTGATTGAACACTGGAATAGGTTGCTTAGAAAGGTTGTGGAGTGCCATCCTTGGAGATAGCCAAAATGCAACTGGACAAGGTCTTGAGCAAGCCTGCTGTAATTGACCCTGGTCTGAGCAGCAGGTTTGAACTAGATGATCTCCAAAGGTCCGTTCCAACCTCAATGATTTTGTGCACTTCTGTTTCTTTCTGATATTATCCAGGTTTTTTGTCTGTTTATATTCATAGTTCCCTCAAAGTTTGGGCACAAGTAAAATTGACAGTAAAATTCAGCAAAAGTATACATAAACGTATACACCAGTTACTCTGCACTTCAAATCTCTTTTAAATTTAATCTACTCTTATGCTTAATGTCTGTGAAATATATGCGATTTCATATTTGCGGTTTTTCAGTTCTGGTATGTATTTTGGGATTCTGACATTTTTAAATAGGAAGTTTCATATATGTCCATAAACTGAGATCACAGAATCATAGAATGGTTTGGTTGGGAAGGGACCCCAAAGATAATCTAGTTCCAACCCCCCTGCCATGGGCAGGGACACCCTCCACTAGACCACGTTGCCCAAAGGCCCATCCAACCTGGCCTTGAACACTTCCAGGGATGGGGCCTCCACAACCTCTCTGGGCAACCTATTCCAGTGCCTCACCACCCTCACAGTAAAGAATTTCTTTCTAACATCTAATCTAAATCGACCCTCCTTCAGCTTAAACCCATTACCCCTTGTCCTGTCACCACACTCCCTGATAAACAGTCCCTCACCATCTTTCCTCTAGGCCCCTTCAGGTACTGGAAGATGTTTATCATACATGTAATTATTGTAGTTAGGAGTAATAAAAAAGTGGACTATGTAAGATTTGTATGGAAACCTTTAAAAGACATGAAAGAAAGGGCTAAAGAAGAAAGACAGACTGAACTGTGCTTCTGTTGTGTTTCATTTCTCCTCTGGTGGCTGAAATGAGAATGCAGAAAAAAAAACCATGGATGTAAACTTTGCTTTCATTTTTTTCTCCCACAGATGATGAGATGGGGTGGGATGGAGGTGCCAGTTTCTGTAAGCATAGGTTGGAATAATTTGTAACAGATTTGGAGAAGAAATACTGAGTTGTACCGATTCTTATCCCTGCACTGACAGGGTGTGGAGAACAGGCAGACTGATTGTCCTTTTGCTTTTGAGGAAAAGCCTTAGGGTAAATTCTTAGAGCACATTGAGGTATTTCTTGTCTGTCTTCAAGCCTAAGCTCCTTGACTTCAGGATCACTGCTGAAGAGAAAATGCACAGAAAAGTGAACACATGCAATTGGAAGGACACTAGTAGTGAGGGCCAAAGGAGAAATCTGCCAGTCATTTGCAAGGACCAGTTTTAAAACTGTACAGGCACACACTGAACAGCCTGAAGTGTATATTAACAGGTGAATTCAGTACTCTAGTGCGTGTAAAAGACAGAGAAATGGTTTGCATCTAAGCACAAAGATTAAAAATAGTAGTAGTCAAATAGTTTTGCAGAGGTGGAAGAATTGACTCTGCAGAAGTTTGCCAAAACTGGGTTAGAAAACTTCATTGAATTCCTTTCTAAAAAAGGAGCTGTTCAAGAAATAAATTCAGAATTTGCTCAAAGGCATTGAGGCAAAGGAAGCAGAGGTTTAGAGAAACAGTTTGGACCATCTCAGAATATTCCTGTTGTTCAGGCTTGAAGATAAGATGGTGGTACGTTAGAAGGCAAGTATATGAGCTAAACTGCTGTTGAAATAGTGGATGAATCTTAAGGAGAAGTGCGAGAGAGATAGAAAGCTGGGTGCTCATAATGAGATTTGGTTTAATAAATTAAAATGATAGAACAAAAAAGATGCCTTATTGCCTTCAATGCAAATGACAACAGGTAGGATTGTTTCTTTGACTATTTTAAAATATTTATTTTTCCATAACCTGTTTATGGTTACCATAAAGTGAGTTACGTGACTTGTAATACTTGGCATTTTTCTACCTGACAGATCTTAGATGGAAGTCATCCCCCCCATTGTGTTATATGGCAATGATATTTAAATTGAGTAGCTTGTCTTCTATAGCTACAGTTCTAGGCAACAACAAAACTGCTGCCACCACTAAGCATTCTTCGTCGGGGGACAGTGAGAATTAGAACTAGAGTGGATAGAAATAAGATAGTCAATGAACAGAAGAATGGCTGAAAAGGTTTGCAAGACAGACTTCACTACCTCGTTATCTCTAATCCAAATCTGTTATAATGCTTCTGTTGCAGGTGATCTGTAATAGACTCAATTTTGCTTGTTCTTTTGCCCTTCATTTAACAGTTACCTAAAAGCACATTCACTTTTTTTATTCAGGAAACCTTAGTAAAATAGGAAGTTTAAACAAACAAACAAACAAAAAATGGTGCTGACACTTTAAAAATGGATCATTAGAAATAAATGGGAAAACCATCTGTCATTCTTAGCTACAGATTAGATGTTTCATGCATCAGCAGTGTCTAATACGTGCACAAAGGAATAAAATTTAGAAAGGATTATGGGCATTGCTGCTGACATTATATCCTGTTGAACCATGGAGAATGGGTAATAAACAGTTCCATGTAAAAGGAGAGGATGTAGATCCTCATTCTTACTATAAAATCTGTATTTTTTCCTTTTGATGTGGAAGGACATTAGTAAAATTATATGTTGCACATGTTAGAAAAAAATTTCATTGGTTTCATAGGTATTGTTCCTTTTACCTACATACCTTAAAGCAATTCTGAAGTGGTTAAGAGTCAAAATTTTTGTAAATTAATTGTGTTGGTTTTAATGCCAAGGTGTTACCCATGTTTATTTTATACT